TTTTCTCTTTTCGTCAGACTTCTCCCTCCAGTTCCTACTTGCAGATGTGCCTTTCAGCAACTCGATTTTCCCAGAATGGATTACATAGCCAAAAATATCTTCGTATAAATCGTTTCTGAATTCACTAATAAGCTGATTCGTGTAGGCTCCTATGTCGCCCATTCGATTGTTCAGGTCGTTCAATACGTTACTGCCACTTCTGTTGCTTCTGAAAGTTACAGAAGCGGGACAATTTCCCACGCACGGTATTATTATGTGCAAAATGTTCTTTACCATCTTAAAAATGACTTCATTTATAATGGTCGTGTTGTGCATAAAATTGACGCACAAATCTAGTACGGTTCTTATGAAATTTTCCAGCAGGTCAGAGGCGTACAAGTTAACATCATGGTTGTAATATATTTCGAATAGGACATTTTCAAGACAAAAATAGGACAAGGTTAGCAAAGCAGTTTCGGTGACGTTTTTGGAAGAACTTTTCTTCAGTATGCTTAATAATATATTAATAAACACTTCGTTGTAAATGCAAAAGTGCTTCTTATAAAGGATAAAAATGTTTATATAAGTTCTCATGGATCTGCACATTAGGATATAAGACGATGACGTGATGTGCAGAAATAAGGACCTTATTATGTGTGACAGGGCGTCAAAGTTTTTGTTTATCAGGGCGTATCCGCAAGTTTCTAGAAGAATGTTTAGCAATCTGAAGGACAGCAAATTAATGCACTCCATATTGTCGTTCGAAATTTCATTTTCAAACAAGTCATTATACAAGCCAATGCACTCCTTCGTTTTTAATAAATCCTCGACGAACTTATTTTTATTGCTGTTCATTAGTATCAGAATGATGGTTAGCAAATCGTGTATGAAGTCGTCATCTGGCAAGCTTGCGACATTCGCGCAGGCATCGCGCGAGTGATTTGTGAAAGCGTCGTTAGGTTCATTCGTGCTAACGTTACTAGGTGCGTTGGCAGTAGCACTGATAACGCTGCTCATACTTCCGCTGACCGTTCTACTCGTCAGGTTATTCATTACAATGTAGAAAATGTTTTTCAATATGGATTCACAATTCCCCTTAAACAACAGGGAATATTTATTATTCTTGTATATTTTAAAAATGTAGCAAATGATTTTTATAATATTTTTCCTGTCAACAACTTTGATGGCATTACATAACATATTATTAAACAAAATGATGGTATCGTACAGTATAATTTCTTCATGGTTAATATTATTGTAGTTAATAGGTGCAGATAGTAACGTTTCTATGCTGACGTTAATGATGTTGTTCCCTTTGTTAATTAAGAAATTGGGGTTCTCTTCCTTCTTATTAGGAAATTTTTTGGATAACTTATAATTCTTTGAAAAAAAATGATATTTTTTTCTCTTCGGCATTTTTTCACTCATCTTGGATGATAGCACATCGCTATCATCATGCTTTTCTTCACTCACTTTGGTATGACTGTTTTGGTGTGCATCGTTTAGTGCCTTCTTATTTAAATGGCCCTTCTTGTTAATTTTCACATCGTGATCGTTGTCAATGGAGATGTACGACTCCTGTTTTTTAGAAATATTTTCATCATAGATCTTTTCATTGAAATAGCTACTGTTATACTTTAATATGTGGTCCAAGGAATGTAAAGCGTTCAGTTTTATTCTATAAAAAATGTTATTGTTTCTTATGATATTTAAAAAAGGAGCTATATGATATATATCTAGCTTATTATTAAACTCTTGTATGTCTATTTCTTCCTTCAAGCTGTTCGTCAAATTGCTGATGCTGTTGTACAGGATGAACAGTGCGTCCACAATACTGGAATCCAAATTTTTATTATATTCGTGCTTCTTAATAACCGCCAGTACGTTTATTATTTCATTTTTTATGATGGTGAATATGTTTAATCTTGTCAATTCGTCATGTAGAAATTCAGGGTTCAGGTAATTTATTCCGAAATTTTTCTTATCATCCTCATTGTATTCATACGTGTGTTTGAAACTTAGAAATTTTTCCATTTTTCTCTTTTCATAATATTTGCTATACTCCATTTTTCGCGAAAAGGGGTGTGTGCAAATCTTTTACATTTCTATCAGGGGGGTGAAGGGCAACTATTTCCTTGTACTTTTTAAACAATTGCTGATGGATTGTCGTGAGCACAAGTGCGTAACTGCTCAGTACGGTGTCCTTCAAGCTGTACAGCTACGTGGAGAAGCAAGCGACCGGATTGCCCCTTAAGTGGTGCTACGCGCGTAATATACATACACAATACATGCATACGTCTATTTACGCTCGTATTGTTATCCCCCGCGGGGATTTTTCCCTTCCATTTATTCTTTTGTGCAGCCACGATACGACAGCTTACAAGGGCAATTGTCGCTCCTTCGAAGAGGTGAAAATATTATATATACACATTCGCAATTTTTTCATAAATTATAAATTGGATTTTTTTTTTCTAACAAAAAATGTGTCACTCATTTGTACCTACATGACACTTCTTCCCATTTAAAAGGTTCTGCATACTTTATATTCTAAAGTGCAGATCATTATTTTGCTGAAAAAAAAAAAGATTAGAACAGAATAACTACTGAGGGTATGCTTCAGAATAAGGGGCATAACAAATATACATGTTGGTGTACAACTAACAAGGGCGCATCTTTCTCCTTGGCTGATGTGGGAAGATAAATTGGCCGAACAAATTCACAAGGGAAAAATTCAAATAGCGAAACAATGAAAGAGTAGGGCATGAAACGTAAGAGAGAAAAAATTGTGATATATTGTGATATACTGTCAT